TCCCGCCCTTTCCTCATAACCTTTGATACCCCTATTGATCAAGAATCCATCCATCTCAGCCTTAAATGTACTCATGGACTCTTGTTCTTTCCCACTGTGAAGCCCGTGTTAAGTATTCATTGAGGACTGTGTCTTCCTGAACGTAGATTGCTGTTATGGTCCCTACTGAACTCTACTCTTTCCCTAGTTGTTCTCTTGCTCCTTATATTCTTAAAAAACAAACCTTTTGGGATTTCCTCTATTCTACCCACCAATGCATTCTCATTCATTCTCTTTACTCTTGTAGTTTATTTTTTAAGTTCCCTCCTGCCCTTTTTATACTCCTATAGGGGCGCTTCTGTATTGAGCCCTCAGTATCTGCTATAGGTTCCCATTTTGCCGAATCCTAAGCTTTATGTCCCTGCACATCCAGGGTTCTCCTGCAGTTGAACTGGAGCTCAAGACCAAAGCACGACACCAAGAGTCACAGTCTTGAGCCTGGCCTCACATGGAAGCCAAGGATGGTCAATAGAGATGAGCTTGGAAGCACGTTGCTACTAAGAAGAGCCGAAGAAGTAGTATTCGGTTTTGTCTACCTAGATTCATTTGACAGAAACTTTGACTCATCTGTGACTTAATGTTTCAAAAGCAGTAGACTGGTTGCAGAGAGTCATAAAGAATCATATGGGCAGTTCGGTGGTTCAGTGGTTAGCACTGCTGCCTCACAGTGCCAGAGACTCAAGTTTGATTCCAGCCTCGGGCGACTGTGTGAAGTTTACGCATCCTCTTTGCGTCTGTGGGTTTCCTTTGGGTGCTCTGGTTTACTCCCACAGTCGAAAGATATGTAGGTTAGGTGAATTGGTCATGTTAAATTTCCCAGAGATGTGTGGGCTAGGTGGATTAGCCATGGGAAATGCAGGGTTTCAGGGACAGGGTTGGGGGGGGTGGGGGGAGGGTAGGTTGGAGGGTTGGTGTAGATTTGATGGGTGAAATAGCCTGTTTCTAATGATATATTGGACTAGACATACAGTTCCACAGCTTGCAGAAGTATATTTTCATATTTGCACATTTTTGTCAGTCTCCTCTCCCTCTTCTGGATTGTTGTTACACAGTCCAGTCACTATCTAGTAGCTCAGCTATACTGAACATAATACTATCAAGCTATTTGATTACAGATAACATAAGTGTAAAGCCCAATCCTAGGAGGCGTTACTGGGCAGCAGTCATTACCATATAAAACTAGCAAATTCACCAGAAACCTGCAATTAAGCATGGGCCTTTTATGGTTTAGTATTACAATCAGCACTATTATTATCCACTTGGCAATGGAGATAGTTATTATTTCTATTGTAGCAATAGGTTGTTTGCAGACAGAAGTTTGGTTCTAGTCTCTTTAATTCTGCAATATTAATGAGGAATAATAAATTGTGTGATAGAATGAGAGGGTAATGACTTTGAACAAGCTAATGAGGTAGAAAAGGAGAGAAAGGAGGAAAATAATTTACAGGACTAAGAATGTAAAATATCAGATAACAGAAAGGAGGCCAGATGCAACCATAAAAAGACACCAAATTGGTACAGTGTTAATATATTTCAAGCCTGTTGGTGAAATTGAAACTAAGACACACTTAGCTCTTCTTTTATGGAGAGTTTATTAAATTTGTCAACATTACCCCTTTCATTCAACACTCAGTGTCACAGCCGTTCCTCAGTTTTATGTACTCAAACAATTAATCGCCACCAACAGATTCTCATAAACTTAAAAAAAGATGTTAATAAATGTAACAAAATGATCAACTAGGTATTACCATGGGATGCTAGAGCAGTTTTTATGTTAAAAAAAACTGAATCTATGAAAAGCATATGAGCAAGTGTGAACATCAAAATGAAAATAAAGTGTGAAAAAAAATTCTAGGGTGCTATAATCTGCATACAAAATTCTAATAAGGCTGTAGACTTGCTCACCGAGCCGGTGTGTTTGGTTGCAACGTTTTGTCACTCTGCTAGGTAACCTTGTCAGTGCGTCTCCGGTGAAGTGTTGGTATTCTGTCCGGCTTGTTAGTTACATAGCTCGGTTTGCTGGGGTGGTTGGCATTAGTTCTGGTTCTGTTTTTCAGTAGTTTGATTATTGGTCCAGTTCAGTGTGTTGTAGATGGAGTTCCGGTTGGAATGCCAGGCCTCCAGGAATTCCTTGGTATATCTGTGTTTGGCTTGTGCTATTATGGACCTCTTGTCCCAGTCGAATTCGTGTCCTTCTTTTTCTGTGCGTACTGAGACCAGTGAGAATTGGTCGTGTCTCTTGGTGGCTAGTTGGTGTTCTCGTATCCTTATTGTCAGTTTTCTTCCAGTTTGGCCTATGTAATGTTTCTCACAGTCTTTGCATGGCATTTTGTATATTACATTAAGTCTAATTGGTTGTCAGTATGTATGTTACTGACACACATAAAGGATCCCATACCCACAACCAATAAAACTAACATAATATACAAAATACCATGCATGGGCTGTGAAAAACATTATATAGGCCAAACTGGAAGGAAACTGACAATAGGATACACGAACACCAACTAGCCATCAAGAGACATAATCAATTCTCACTGGTCTCAATAATCACGGACAAAGAAGGACACGAATTCAACTGGGGCAACACATCCATAATAGCGCGAGCCAAACAGAGACATGCCAGGGAATTCCTGGAGGCTTGGCATTCCAATCGGAACTCCATCAACAAACACATTGAACTGGACCTGATGTATAAACCACTGAAAAACAGAACCACCAGTAATGCTAACCACCCCAGCAAACTGATACATATAAATAACTAGTAGAACAGAACGCCAATGCTTCACCGGAAGCGCACTGATAATGTTACCTAGCAGGGTGACGAAACGTTTGCAACCAAACACATCGGTTCCGTGAGCAAGTCTACAACCTCATCCACAGCCTAAGCTACAAATCTCCTCAAACACTTTAAAATCCTAATAGGTACCCAATCAACAACAATTTTTCATTTCGATTCATATTTGTCCTCATGTAAAGCCATGTCAGGGAATGGAAATATCAACAAATTTAGGTGAGACCAGTATACAAATTTAGTAAGGCATGAATTTCATAGAACAGTACATTGTTGTAGTTAGGCCTGGATTAAGTGTTAAAAGCAAGGCAGTGCCAATGCATGATGGGCAGGGTACCAACAACCAAAATAAAACAAAATGGTAAAGTTAGAGGAGATACGATTGTACTGAATTCTTTTTATATAGTGCGAGTTTAGCCTTGGGTTCAGGGTCCAAGAAGTACATTTTTATGTTGACGACTCATTGCTAGTTTCTATAATCCAAGCATACCTGAATGACTAACAAAAACAGAAGTTGCTGAATAGCTCAGCCAGTCTGGCAGCATCTGTGAAGAAAAAAATCAAAGTTAATGTTTTGGGTCTGGTGACCCTTCCTCAGAACTGAATGACTAGCCTTTTCCACTGTGGTACAAGAGTTCACCAGAAAATGCCATGGAAAATGTTAACCAAAACTCCAACAACCGTTTATTTTAGGAGACAAAAAAATCTCTTACTAAATGTATTTTCTCTTGCTTTGCCTGGTTTTGATTGTATTGTGCAACTAACCATTCCATTTCTATGAGAGCAAGTAAGAGACTCGTCCCTAAGCCTTAAAAGGTTACTGCTCTTTTAATTGGCCAAGCTATTCCATCTTTGGACTTCCTTTCACCCTTTAGGAGAAGTCTTGAATCTTTAGGGAATGGGTGACATGAGTAACCTATTTCCTTCCATGCTGTGACAAACCACATCTGAACATGAATATATTGTGCCACTGTGCTTTGTTCCAGGTTTCTGCATTCAAATTTGATGTGGTTTTTCTTGAAGAGACTCAGCCTTCAATTGTAACACAGAGTTACAATTAGACAAGATAATACTGTATGCACGCAGGAGAGAAGTCAGTTTTCAATTTGATTGTAATTATTGGGTGCTTTTCAAAACACCCTTTTGTTTTCTGTTTTGCTCCATCCTGGATTTAGTTCTACAGTTAAGATTATCAGTGTTCATCCAAGGCTACTAAACGATATGAAATAAATCATACATTAGTTTCAATGGCATGCCCTGCTTGGTTTAAAGGTTAGTTGTGTATTGGGCTGAAATTCATTTTGTTGACACTCCCATCTGATACTCTGGAAAAGTCCAAATATGGTCACAAAAGCTGCTGCTCAGCCTCACCCTAGTATGGATAGTTTCTCTCGTTTTTCAGGCAAGAATGTGTGTGCATTGCATTATCCCTGCAGTGGTAAATTGCAGCCCTTCACTCGCCACAATGATTGCGACCACTATCTATACTTCTGCTGTACCGACCCAGCCAATACAGGTAATCAGGGAAATGTCACTAACTAAAGCAGAGCAATAATTGTCGACGTCATTCCTGCTCTTTTTCAAGTGCTTTCTCAATACTTCATTTTACCCGAATATATTATTTTAAAATAAACGATGCTATGAAATTGTCTCAAACAATCGAGAATCAAACACAAAAAAAGACCGGATCCCCGGAGACTGCATACTACATAATATCACCGTAACAAAACGTAGTAGTTATTGCATAAGCAGGTTACCGGGCCGAGTCTACCCGCGGAACCCCAGAATGTGTTTATGGCAGTACGTCCGATGTCGGCTTTCAGAGGGATGGTTTGGCATATTCAGATGCCGGGGCGGGGACAGCCGCTCGCTTGTTGTCCGACCCGTTAGAATGACCTGCTAACCATTACATGGCAATTCACACTGCGGGGCCCCATCCTCATTTGCCGCGCGCCGGCGCCGGCGCCGCCGATTGACCAATGAGAGACTGCTGGCGGGGTTTTTGCGGGGTGGGGGTAGCAAAGGAGGCGAGCGGCGAGGACGCGCGACGACCCCCTCCGCGGGCAAGGGGCGCGTGCGGCGCCATCTCGGCCAATGGGAGCACGAGGTGGTGAAAGATACCCAAATATGGGTATGTCTGTGCAGAGTGGGTGCGCGCGGCCGGGAGAGTTGGGGGCGGGGTCTGGTTCCATTAGAGAGTGGGGAGAGGGTGAGAGCGGTCACACTCACTTCGGCAGCTCCAGGGAGAGGACGTGTTCACCACTGGTTGACCTGACACTAACCAAACAGGTAGAAAGCTGTCTGAAAAGGGATGGGATGGCTGGGTTGATAAGTGTGGGATACATTGATTGTGCAGGGAGGGAGTTTTCTTTCTCAAGTATTTAGAAATTGTGCAGCTTTTGCATTTTTTTCTCTTTTTTTTTTAAAAGAAAATCTGTTTGTCACCTGCTTAATATCAATTTGGAATGTGCATGTTAAAATTGATGGAGTAGCCCAGAAAACGGTCCCAAACTGGTGAGAGACCTTTTTTGCGATTTCTTCTGTTGTGATTTCTTCTCTTTTTCCTGGATTTGTAACTTAATTTCTTTGGAAGAAATGCTATTATTCTAAGAGGATTTTGGCTTTCTTATTTGAGGCAGGGCAGAGATTTTTTTTATTATTAATGGTGTGGCTGAATAGGAAACTAGGCTGAAATGGAGAGAATCAGTGGAAGGATCTATTGTCATGGGAGTATAGTGTCTCTAAAATTGTCACTGAAGGTTGAAAAAATTTGTAACATGCAACTGAACTGGTAAAATCCTTGGACTGCTGATTTGAGGGTTATGAAGCCTGGCTCACTTTTGTGGTAGCTAATGAGCACTTTTTTAAAAAAAAATGTTTAAAGAATCAATGCTCTTGGACTTCTGCTTGTCTAATGTGCATGATGGGTTGTTCCCTTTTGTGTATGTGTGGACCAATAAGTCATGGTCACTTGATTTCAAAATGCTGCTCTCAAAGATGGGTAGCTTTGATTTTCTTTTGGTTGCATTTTCTAGTATTTAACTACTGGCTTGGGTGGGACAGTTACTTTGGCTTTATTGGAATCTGGAATTGAGCAGTGACAAGGTGTGGCTTATGAGCATGAAGAACAGAGCACTTGCAATGTACAACTATTTAAATACCAGTGATAGAGCTTCAGTGGAACAAAGGACAGGTATTGGGATCTCTTCAATGAATGGGAGGGGTTTGGGGGTATTGGGGTACATTTAAAGACTAGCATTTAGTAAAGTTGAGGGGGTGGGGTCAATCCTGGCTAGACTCAAGCCATATCCTTTTATGGAATTGTTCAGTCTGATTAGCTGAGCCATATGTGACATTGTTCTGTACCCAGCAGACCATGGCACGGAACTTGATGAGGAAAATCTGCCAACTAATGAGCTAGAAATGAATTGCTCTTACTCATGATAAAAGTACTTTTTAAGCAGCCATTCACTTTGGTCTATTTGCTCTCCTCAATGTAGTACCTGAGCTGAGAAGTTAACTTGTTGGAAATGATTTGTGGAATCTCATTTGTTGACAGTCCATATTCCAGTTTGACAGGTGACACTGAACTGAGGTTTTTTTTTCCCCCCCTTAGTCAAAATGGCAGATGATGAGATTGCAGCACTTGTCATAGACAATGGCTCTGGTATGTGCAAGGCTGGGTTTGCTGGAGATGACGCACCCCGTGCTGTGTTTCCCTCCATCGTTGGTCGTCCCAGACATCAGGTAGGTTTTAGTGTTCAAATTAATACACTAAATGCATGCTCAAAAATATCCAAACTAGATCTTTTTTAACTTGAATGAGTCAATTTAGTTCAGCAACTAGTCATGCTGTGCAGCTCCCAGACTTGGGTGATACTCTGTCTATTGCAATACCTGTATTCATAACTGGCTGTTCCTGTTTCCAGGGTGTTATGGTTGGTATGGGACAGAAGGACAGCTATGTCGGTGATGAGGCTCAGAGCAAGAGAGGTATCCTTACCTTGAAATACCCCATCGAGCATGGTATTGTCACCAACTGGGATGACATGGAAAAGATTTGGCATCACACATTCTACAATGAACTCCGTGTTGCTCCTGAAGAACACCCTGTCCTCCTCACAGAAGCTCCTTTGAACCCCAAAGCCAACAGAGAAAAGATGACTCAGGTAATTTATTGCTTTAGTAATAAAATCTTGTTTTCCATAAACTTTTTTCCATGTACTTATCTCTTTTAAAATCTCCTGACCTAATCATTGTTTCAATGTTTCCAGGATGCTCCTCTGCTTCTGGAATTTCTCCCCTGAAGTCTCCAGGTTTCTTTTCTGCTTCATCTTTTTGTTTGGTTTCTGTCTGCCACCTTCTGAGTTGCACTTTTCCATTTTCTGCATGCTGGCATGCTTAAAAATTAGTGTATGCATCTTGTTTTACTTTTTCACTAACATTAACTTTTTTTTCTCAGATCATGTTTGAGACCTTCAATACCCCAGCCATGTATGTTGCCATCCAGGCTGTGCTGTCCCTATATGCCTCTGGTCGTACCACTGGTATTGTTATGGACTCTGGTGATGGTGTCACCCACACTGTGCCCATTTATGAGGGTTATGCACTTCCACATGCTATTCTGCGTCTGGATCTGGCTGGTCGTGATCTGACAGACTACCTCATGAAGATTCTGACAGAGCGAGGGTACTCTTTCACCACCACAGCAGAAAGGGAAATTGTCCGTGACATCAAAGAAAAACTGTGCTACGTAGCCCTGGACTTCGAACAAGAAATGGGTACTGCTGCTTCCTCCTCTTCCCTGGAGAAAAGCTATGAGCTGCCTGATGGTCAGGTCATCACCATTGGCAATGAGAGATTCAGATGTCCTGAGGCCCTGTTTCAGCCATCTTTCTTGGGTAGGTATTAAAATGCAGTGAATGTGATCTGGAAATTAACTAGTTCTAATGTGTTATATGCAACGATATAGCTGGAATTCTAGGCATGTCTCTATTTAACACTGAGGTGCCATCAATGGAGACTTGTCCTGGCATGATATCATCTTGTCCTGAAAGTTGCATGTATTATTAATTTTATGCAACATCATGAGTAGGATGGCCCAATTCCTCCACAGTTTCAGCTAACCTTTTTTCTTGCCTTCCAGGTATGGAATCTTGTGGCATCCATGAAACTACTTTCAACTCTATAATGAAGTGTGATGTTGATATCCGTAAAGACCTATATGCCAACACAGTATTGTCTGGTGGTACCACCATGTACCCTGGTATTGCTGACAGAATGCAGAAAGAAATCACAGCCCTTGCACCCAGCACCATGAAAATCAAGGTAGGTTTTCCAATAAGGTGACATTGCTTGGGACTGCAATTCCCCCATGAGTAACCTGTGGGTCATTCATGGGTTAATGAATGGCATCATGCATGTAGATCCCTTCACATTGCTTTTTCACCCATTCCCCTCTTGTGTGGAAGAAGTGGTGAACAAGCTCTTAATGCAGTGCATACTGAGATGTGCAAACCATCCTGGTGATGGGAGTAGAAACCATAAATGGCAGGAAGAAAATGCCCTTCCTTGTTCTGAAAGGATTATCAGTAGTGCATAAACACTTGCGCTGTTACTTATTTAACCTTCACTGTTTCCTTCATTAGATCATTGCTCCACCTGAACGTAAATATTCTGTCTGGATTGGAGGTTCCATCTTGGCTTCCCTGTCTACCTTCCAGCAGATGTGGATCAGCAAGCAGGAATATGATGAGTCTGGCCCATCCATTGTGCACCGCAAATGCTTCTAAATGGACTGCAAGCAAATGCACAGCATTTGCTGCAAACTTTGAAAAGGAAGAATAATTTTTTTTTGCCCAGGCAATTACACCTCGTGCTAGCCTCATGAAACTGGAAGAGCCTACTCGTAAAGAAATTACCATCCCCTTCAGAAAGCTAGTATGAAGTGTTTTGAAAGGAGCACTGTTGGATTGTCGAAATAATCACTTTCTGTCTTGCTGCCATTCTTGCAGGGTTTGAAACACATTGCATTTCAGGCCTTATGACCCTGTTGTTCTATTGTTTCTCAGCAGTTCATGGGGCTGAAACTTGAGTTGCAAAAGTTGCATTTACACCTGTAAATTTATGCATCTGAGTTAATTTATGTAAAATTTTCTTTTTGTACGTTGCCTTAATGTTCATTTTCACATGGTAGAAAACCAAAATTTGTAAGTCCATCTGGATGTTGACAACTGTAATGCCCAACTGACATTTCATTTTGAGGGAAAACCAAGTAAAGTACTATAGAAACTGACTTGAGTGTCTTGCTCTTTATTGCTTCTATGCATTGACTAACCAACTTTCCAGTTGTGGATTGGTTGTTTTTGATTTTTTTTTTCTTAGTGGTTCAAAGTTGCAAGCAGTTTTTTTTAAACTGACTTAATCAGGTGTTTAATGTCTTAAGGTTATAACCTACAATTTCAATTAGGCAAATCATTTCAAGGTGTCCTGTTCACAGTGAGCCAATTAAGTGTTTTTTTTTTTTTAAAAACTAAATTTTAATAGTGGGCAAGGATGTTGCTCAATGTCCAATGCTAAAGTGATAACAGGGGTTGGGGAGGGAAATGAGTGGGTGGTAAGAGCCAAATAAGTACAGAACTAATCCATTCCATTGGGCAATGGTGGAGGAGGGGGGAGAGAATGCTGTCTTAATGTGGGCAAGTGCAATAGAATGTTTGTTTGAATGATATTTTATAGCTCTTAAGTTGATGCTTTTGGGCAGTTTCAGCACTTGTGGAGGCAAAAAAAAATTTTGTGGGGGGAGGGCTAATCTAGTGAAATGCCTGGCCTACGATATAACAAAGCAACTAGCAAAAGAATGACATGGTATTTTTGAGTTGGCGGAGTGATGTGATGTCACTAGTGTAAATGCTTTCACCATATTTTAAAAGGCTCTTTTAGGCATAGGGGCATGAGATTTGATTTTGTTTGGAAGTAGAGAAAAGCCAAGTGTTCTGTTTCCAGGAGTTGAAGCTTTTTTTTTGTAGAGGAAATGTGACACTTCAGGTTTGTGCCCTCTCGGACTCTGTAGATTTGGGAGCAAAGTATATTGAGACAAGAGTTTTTGTTGATTTGGAAGAATGAGTTCTGACCTCTTGCTGTCAGCAAAGTTTGACCCCAGCATTCAGCAGAAGACTAGATAGCAGACTATACTGCAGGTTTTTTCAGGAGTCATTAGATAATTTAATGCTGGGTATACATATGCACAGTCATTTAAAGGAAATAATTAGAAATGGCTGTGGTTAGGAATAAAGCCAAAAGAGATCCTAAATATGTTGGTTTCTTTTTAAACAGTGACTGGAAATACCAGAATCCCTAAGTTGTCTAATTTTGTGCTTCAGTAACCTTTAATGTAGCCAGTGTTTTACTGTTAATTCAAATGGCAATTTTATTGACTTCTAGCAAAATCCCTTGCATTCTGAGATTATTCAGAATCATCAGTAGCTGAGTTATTCCATCATTAAACCACTTTGAATGCCCTGATTTTTGGTTAGGTTTGCGACTTCTTCAATCCATATTACACTGACTTTAATTTTCACATTTTGAAGATATCTGTCCTTCTTAGCTTGAACTTGGCCTGCTATTCCTCATCCACTTTCCTGCACTTTATCCAATAAACATAGATTCTTGGATCAAGACAATCAATTTCCACCTTTTTAAATTGCTCAGACTATGCTCTCTGATCCTATGCATTCATTTGAGGGGAAGAGGACTGCTCACTCATTAGAGATGACTGGTGGTGGTTTAATCAAAGCTTCACTATCCCACAGGCAAGGGGGACAGGCTCAAGTGAATTCTTCATTATCACCTCAACCACTGTGGAATTGAACCCACGCTGTTGGTATCGCTCTGTTACAAACTAGCCGTCAAAAGCATGAGGTGATCTCATTGAAACATATAGGATTCTTAAGGAACCTGACAAGGTTAATGCAGAGTATACTTTTTTTTTCCCACCCCTTCCCCCTCATGAATGTGTCAGATCAGAGGCAAAAGGAAGTTGTAAATGTCTTCTAGTTCCATCTGGAAATGTACAGATTATCAATCATACCAGCAATTGTTGGTTTTCTTCTCTGTTCTTGTCAAGGACTACACCCTTTCCTAGAAAAATTCTTGGAAGAAGACAATTGGGATTGATGGAGAACAAGAAAATCATAATTATTGCAATACAGAGGGAGACCATTCAAGCCATTATACCCACATTGGCTCCTCTCTAGTCCAGCTCTACTATCCTGTGCTAAACTACCTTTTCTCCATATTACTGCACACCACGACTAGCAAATGTTTCCACTGAATCTACCTGACTCACATTTTCAGGCAATGTATTCCATATCGTAGCAACTCATTGGATGAAAAGATTTTCTCACACCACCCTTGCTTCACTTGTGTATCACTTTAAATTTATGCTTTCCCATTGTTTCTTTTACAAACAGAAACAGCTTCGTTCTACTTACGTTATCCAGCCCAATCATGATTTTGAAAGCATCAATCAGATCTCCTCAGCTGCCTTTTTTCCAGGGGTGAACAGCGCCAACTTCTTCAATCTATCCTCATAGCTGAAGTTTCTCATAATTGGAAACATTCTAGTAAAGTGCTTCTGCAGTAGCTCCAATGCATTTGCATCTTTCCTATAATGTAACACCTGCAACTGTTCACAATATTCTGGTTGAGGTCTAACAAGTGTGTTGTACAAATTCAACATCGTTTCCTTGCAGTAATACTGTGTCTAATAATAAAGCCAAGAGCACTGTACTGTTTATTCACTGCACTCTCCACTTATCCTGCACCTTCAATGATACATACATCCTAAGGTTTTGGAGTAGATATGTAGCTCAGGTTGTGCGTGTTGAGGTTGGTTGGTTCGCCGAGCTGGTTTGTTGTTCCGCACACATTTCGTTACCATGCTTGGTAACATCCTCGGTGCAGCCTCTGATGAAGCGTCGGTGTGTTTCCCCACCTGGTTTTTAAACTCTGGGGTCCGTTGCGATGGATTGCCTCACTTCCGGGTTTCCTCTGTAGTGGAATGTATATGGAGTCAAGTTCAATGTGTTTATTAATAGCATGCTTCGTGGAGTGCCATGCTTCCAGGAATTCTCGTGCTTATCTCTGCCTAGCCTGTCCCAGGATCTTGGTGTTTTCCCAGTCGAAGTCGTGGTTCTCCTTGTCCATGTGGATTGAAATGAGTGAGTATTGGTCGTGTCTTTTTGTAGCCAGTTGGTGTTCATGTACTCTTGTTGTTAGTTTCCTTCCTGTTTGTCCGATGTTGTGTTTCTTCCAGTCTCTGCAGGGGATCTTGTAGATGACATTGGTCCTGTCCATGGCGGGGAGTGGGTCTTTAGTTCGGGTGAGCACTTGTCGTAGGGTTGATGTGGGCTTGTATGCCACTCTGATGCCCAGCGGTCGTAGAAGTCTTGTGGTGATTTCTGACGTGTTCCTGATGTAGGGTAGTGTGATGAGTGTGTCGGGGTGTGTAGAATCTTTCTGATGCTGTTCCTGTAGGCATCTCCTGACCCAGTTCTTTGGATATCTATTATCCTTGAACACTTGGAAGAGGTATTCCTCCTCCTTTTGGCGTACTACCAGCTCGGCGAGCCAACCAACCTCAACGATACATACTTCCAGATCCCTCTGCTCCTGCACCCCTTGAGAATTGCATCCCTTATTTTATATCAACTCAATGACACCAATTAAACAACTAATTCAGTTCTACGTTCATAGAAGAAGACACAATAACTTCACAGAAATCTAGGGAAACAAGGGTATATTGGGAAGGAGGAATTGAAGAAGGTTAGTATTGGTAAAAAATTAAAGTGCAGGACTAGAAAGGGCTCAGAAATGATTTACAAAGATGTTGCCAGGCTTGGAGGGTTTGAGCTATAGGGAGAGGCTGAATAGGCTGGGGCTATTTTCCCTGGAGCATCGGAGGCTGAAGGGTGACCTTATAGAGGTTTATAAAATCATGAGGGGCACGGATAGGATAAATAGGCAAGGTTTTTTCCCCAGGATGGAGGAGTTCAAAACTAGAGGGCAAAGGTTTAAGGTGAGAGGGGAAAGATATAAAAGGGATCTAAGGAACAACTTATTCACACAGAGGGTGGTGCGTGTATGGAATGAGCTGCCAGAGGAAGTGGTAGAGGCTGGTATGATTACAACATTTAAAAAGCATCTGGATGCGTATATGAATAGGAAGGGTCTAGAGGGATATGGGTCAAATGCTGGCAAATGGGACTAGATTTATATAGGATACCTCACCGGCATGGATGAGTTGGACCGAAGGGTCCGTTCCATTGCTGTGTTTCTCTATTACTCTATGACTCTATAATCAATGGAACCAAAAGCTGAAAAATCCCCAGGATGTGATAATCAGCATCCCAGGTTATTTAAAGAGTTGGCTGTGGAACTAGTGGATTTATTGGTTATCATCTTCCAAAATTCTGTAGATTCTGGAATAATCCCAATAAATTGGAGGGTGGCATATTTTACCCTACTATTTTCAGAAAGTGGAGGGAGAAAACCTAACATCAGTAATCTGGAAAGTACTGGAGTTGGTTATAAAGGACATGATAACAGGACGTTTAGAAAATACCAATGGAATTACACAGAGTCAATATGGATTTTGGAAAGGTTAAGCATTTTTGACAAGCCTGCTGGGTTTAGTTTGAGGATGTAACTGGTAGAATAGATGAGGGAAAATCGGTGAATTTGATGTATTTGGATTTATGGAAAGCTTTTGATGAAGTGCCCTGTTAAGAGGTTACTGTGCCAAATCAAAACAGATGAGATTGATGAAAATGTACTCGCATAGATTGACAATTGGCTAAGAGACAGGAAACAGAGAGGAAAAATGGGTCATTTTCAGCATGGAAGGTGATGACAAACAGGGTTTACTGAAGAGATCAGTCCTTAGGTCTCAACTATTCACAATCTATATCAGCAATTAGGTGTAAGGAATCAAAGCTAATATTTCCAAGTTTGTTATTAATACAAAGCTAGGTGGGATTGTCAGTGGTGAAAGGATGTTAAGAGCCTTCAAGGCTATTCAGGCAATTTATGTGAATGGGCAAATGTATGGCAGATGCTGTATTATGTGGATAATGTAGGAACTAGCAGCAGGAGTAGGCCTGTAGTCATTTTGAACCTGCTCCACCGCTTAGTATGATCATGGCTGATCCTCTATTTCAACGACATATTCTCACTTTCTTTCCTTACCCCTGATGCCTTTAATATCTAAAATTTAACAATCTCTTCCTTGAATAG